AGAGATCGTATCCCATCTTCGTCAAAAGTTTTTTTATTTTTTATTTTTTATTTTTTAGTCTACTCTCAAAGATACACTCATAAAAAACAACCGTGCAGATAAACTAGATAAAGGCCAAGGTGGTGTCATAAGTTGACTCTTTTTTTCGGCATATAACAGTATTAATGACTGCTTTAATATTCGAGAAATAGTTTTCTCAAAGCAGTCATTAATACTATACTATTACATATGCGTATAGACATGCAAGAAGCAGAGGAGCAGTAGCTTGCTGAAGTGTACGTGGCACCATAACAATAGCGTGCATGCATCCTTATGGCAGGCTATGAGTTAACCATCGATCCATCCTCTAATAGCATTTCCTTTTTCTATTGATTTACTCATTCAAATCCCCCCCCCCCCCCCTACAGCGTAAGTCTGAAACGAACTACTTCCGAATCGCTTTCACCCAGGAACTGTTACGGTAGAAGTTGTTACAATGGATCTTCGTAGAACATGCCATGTCTGGAAAAGCAAAGTTTTGAGCTTTATCGTATAGGATGGTAGGTCAGGTAAAAAAACGTCTGCAAAATTCAACGAAATCAGAGAAAGTTCTGCACTGTAACGAGAGTTACCGTGGAATTGCCCCTTTATCAGTATTATGATATAATAAATAGCTCCAACTATTATGGTTTATAGTACAGTTTGTGCCTACCGTCTACCGCTAGCCCTATCCATCCATGCTGCATCGTCGTTTTAAGGTGTTTTTTTAATAAATATTATTGATTATAAACTTTGGGTAGGGTTGTTTTAGGGTGATAGGTTTGGGCATTCAAAGCAAGTAGGTAATTTCCTTTTTATCCCCTTAACCAGGCGTGCCGGAAGCAGTTTGGGATGGGAGGGGGGCAAACATTCAGGGGGCTCACCTTCCAGGGGCAGTGGCGTATTACACTGTCGCTCATATAGTTGGAATATTTTAGTTTTACTCCAATTTATGAAGTTATTTTAAAAATAATTTAAAAATAATAGATCTAGATAGTAGTATATATTCTCAGATTTTATTGAATAATAATGTGACAATGTGTGTTTTGCGTGACTGCTAAAGCATGTGTATGCTACTATGCTTATCAACTAGGGGCAGTTTCCATAAATTTAAAAAAAAAAAAAAAAAATGTAATAAATTATCAATAATTTATTGCATTTTACCCCGGTTCCCAACATAAACAAAATCCTCTGTGTGCCCTTGCCTTGAGCCATAATGCATGAGGTCCAGAGGATTTGTTTATGTTTGGGACCGGGGTAAAATGCAATATATTGAAAATTTATTGTATTTTCTGTTTTTCATTTTATATACGTAAAACTGCCCCCTACCCTAGCCCCCGCTGCGTACATTCATGGTTAATTGACAAAGCAATGGCCTCGTAACTGTGAGACCCCAGGGTCAAAACCGTGTCGATGTGCTATATTAATGCCGTTTTGTGGGGCATTAATCCTCAATACTGTCATTTATGACTTAAGGGCGTAGGTCTATAGTTGATACGCATAATCACATACACATGCTTTAGCAGTCACGCAAAACACACATTGGCAAATTATTATTTAATAAAATCTGAGATTGTATACTATTATCTAGACCTATTATTTTTAAAATACTGGCACTGGCAGGTCACTAATTGGCGGGGGTCCAGGGGGAGCCCGTGGAAGCTCAGGGGTTTGTTGTGCTCCAGGGGGGCAGAGTCCCCGGAAGCTTAGAGGTTTTTAGGTTTTTAATTAAGGTCAGATAAGCTTCCAAGGGCCCGCCATGGGGCTTTAGGTGGGGTTCAGGGGGCAGATCCCCCGGAAGCTCAGAGGTTTTAGGTATTTAATTCAGGTCAGATAAGCTTCCAGGAGCCCTCTTTAGGGCCCTTGTTGGGGTCCAGGGTGTAGAGCCCCTGAAACTCATGGATTTTAGGCATTTAATCACGGTCAGACGAGCCTCCAGGGGCCCGCCTTAGGGCCCTTGGTGGGGTCCAGGGGGCGGAGCCTCGTAAATTTATGAGTTTTAGGCATTTACTATAGGCAAACATTTTGCCGAGGTAAGCAAAAACATGAACATTCATAAAACACCATGGACTATTTGATTATTAACAGAGGGGTGCAATTGTGCACCACATCAAACTCCCCTACTTTCAGTCAAGTATTTCATTGTATTATGTAGTTTGGTAGGTTTATTTTACTAACTGTTTAATTATCAGATATCAATGATAGTTTAAAGATATGGAAAAGGTTCTTGTATGTTATATTTAGCAAAGCAATCTCACAAACGAAATCACTATCAAGTGTCGTCTGATCCGCCGATTGCCGTATGCTATATACGTTCTATAGACGGCGAACTAGCTACGTTTGTGCTGGTGAGAATGAGACAACCGGAGCAATATGGTACGATTTACCCAAAAATACCGGGAAATCATGTCATTTCAGCAACATTTATAAATCACTGGTATCAAATTAGAAATACCACCATCAGTACGTCAGTGTTCAGGGGCGCTCTTACATGTTACATGCAGGCCCCGCCGAACGTTTTCCAAAGTCGGAGTGGGGGGGGGGGGCTAACGTATTTGTGATCAGATAGAGCAAAGCAAGTGGGCGTAAATTAGCATGGGGTCCAGGGGCGGAGCCCCATGAAGCTCAGATTTTTAAGGCATTTAATAAGAGTCAGATGAGCATATTTTGATACCTTATTTGTGACACTTGCATGCAGGTCACTAATCGGAGTGGGGTCCAGGGGGCGAAGCCCCCAGAAGCTCAGCGATTTAAGGCATTAAATTACGATATGATGAGCATCCAGGTGCCGCCTTAGGGCCCTTGGTGGCGTCTAGGGGCGGAGCCCCCGGAAGCCCTGGGTTTTAGGCTTTTGAATATGGTCAGATGAGCATCCAGTGGCCCGCTTAAGGCCCTGGTGGGGTCCAGGGGGAGCCCCCGAATCTCAAGTGTTTTACGCATTTAATTATGGTCAGCTGAGCAACTAGGGGCCCGCCTTAGGGCCCTTGATGGGGTACAGGGGGCAGAGCCCCTGGATGCTAGCTCAGGGAAAATCATGCCATTTCAGCAACATTTGTAAATTAGTCACTGGTATCGAATTAAAAATAAAACACGTTTGAATTTTATCGGGAGGGGGGGGGGGGACTCCCCCAAGCCCGAGTGAGTGAGCATAGTGAATGAGAGGGGTGAAGGTGACGAAAGTGACTACCCCCTCACAGGTTTTGAAGTTTTGTTGTATTACAAAATTCCTTAGCAAAATTATAGTATGAAACAAACAATGTACTTTTTCATACTTCACTTTTCTACAATATTTACTCGTACATTTTGAAGGATATTATGCGAGGGAGCATAGCTCCCGAGCCAGAATTTTTGGCATTTTTATTTGTCTAAACGCTGCACTCTTAAACCATCCAAAGCCTAATAGTGTGTTGCAGTCTTTAGTCAGTATTTGCTGTACATTATTTGGTTGCCCTTTTTAAATTTTCCGGGGGGGAAGATCCCCCCTACAAAAATCAAGGGGGAAGTGTCCCCCCCCCGTCCCCCCCCCCCCGGATCGCCGCCCCTGTCAGGGGCTCATGTCTTCTCACCTCTATAATATAAAACACACACGCTCTCCCATCCTCTCACAATATTTCTACGATATGCGCGTATCGCTATTATAAAAACCTCCATTGATAAATATAATTAGGGCATGCGGAATGTAGAGGAAATTAAAATCCTGTTAACTTTCCTTTTTTTTAATGGAATATAATTTGATTGTGATTTAATTCAGGTTTTATTAAAATACAAACCATCTTTACTCCTTCACTGCTTTTTTTTTAGGGGGGTCTTTTTTTTGCCCCCCCCCCCCCCCCCCCCCACTTCCGGCGCATATGCTCTTAATCACCCCCTCCACTAGCCCCATACCATCCAGGCTACATCACCGAGCCCAACCACTTCTCATCACCCTCAATCTGGCTCAATGTTCATAATTAATAAAAACCCTCTGGACGGCCATGCATTATGGCTCAAGGCATGGGCAAACAGAAGATTTTTTTTATGTTGGGAACCGGGGAAAAATGCAATAAATTATTGAAAATTTATTGCATTTTCTGTTTGTTTTTTTTAATTTATGGAAACTGCCCCCTACCCTAGCCCCCGCTGCGTACAGTCATGGTTCAGTGACAAAGCAATGGCCTCGTAACTGTGAGGCCCCACGATCAAAACCGTGTCGATGTGCTATATTAGTGCCCATTTGTGGGGCATTAATCCTCATTACGGTTATTTATGACTTGGGGCATAGGTCCCCTAGTTGATAAGCATAGTAGCATACACATGCTTTAGCAGTCACGCAAAACACACATTGGCAAATTATTATTCAATAAAATCTGAGAATGTATACTATTATCTAGATCTATTATTTTTAAATTATTTTTTAAATAATTCCATAAATTGGGATAAAAAAAATATTCCACCTTTATGAGCGACAGTGTATATAAAATATACATGTAGAGGTATTGACTGAAGTTAGGATTTTGACAGAACCAAAAATGATAAAACACTAAAATACAGAATAGGGCGTTTTAACGCTGTAATTTAGGGCGTTACCACGCCGTAAAGAAAGAAAAAAAATGCGGAGATTAGCCATCGTAGAATATATAATTTTTGATTGCAAGGGCTTTATATTTTCGGCCATGATAATTTACCCGCGGCCGCGCTTCCCGCACTACCAGCCAATATCAGTGTACTATGAAAATCATCGTTTATGTGTAATATCATGTCCACAGTGAAGCTTAACTTTGAGTTAAAGGGGGTGGGGGTCTCATTATGTCCCCTGTTTCGCATAACAGCGTGGTGCATCAATCTAGTTTCTCTGTATTTCGTTATCCATCCTTTAGGTAATGAAATGTCAGCTATCTACTGAAATAACTACCAGGATGTGGTCCTGTCTCAGATCCTTCACCTCACTGAGACATCTCACTATCTCAGACTCCTCTCTCAGTTTCCCTCCTTTTCCTCCTGAGCTTCCATCCGTCACAAAACTCTCAGTTGTGAGAGTGACGTTACAAAGCTATGAAGTTCTGCTCTCATCGCTCCCTGGCTTGATAGAAATCGATATTACTATCGATGATGCAGAGAGAGACATACCTCAGATCACGGCTGGTCTTCGTAGGACCGAAAGACAGCAGCTCACACACATCAACCTTACAGCACCGTCATCACTCCCACCAGAGAAGAAAAATGTATCGAGAGAGACGCTGAAAGGGCTGGGTCTTCTAATTCATGAACACACTAAGAACCTGCAGCAGATAGATATATCAGGAGTGAAGTGCGCAGACGAGGAAGACTTGGTTTACCTCATCGAGTGCTCCAGACATATGAAGACGATGTCACATTTATGGTAGGTTCTTGTTCTAATATTTTATAAAATAGATTAAAATCCTATGAGATGATTCTATTCTATCCAAAATGGCCCCTTCCCCACCCCCCCCCCCCCCCGCGTTGCTTTTTCTCGTTAAACAAATTAACTTAGGTCTACAAAATCAATTTGTTTATCAAAGTGAAAATCTGACAAATAAATCCCGACAAATGAATCTAAAGTTATAATATTTTACGCATTCTCTGTCTGTTTCTCTTTCTTTTTTTCCCTTCTCTCTTTTAACATATCCGGAAACCTACCCCCTGGCCTGGATATCCACCCCCGGATAACCACCCCAGTCAACTGCCCCGTAGGGCAACTACCCCCTGGGACAACTACCCCATCCAGGATGACTATCTCCCGGGACAACTACCTCCCGGACAACTACCCCCAGACAACTATCCCCTAGGACAACACCCCCTAGGGCAACCACCTCCGGACAACTACCCCAGACGACTACCCCATAGGAAAACTACCCCCAGGGGAAGTTGTCCTAGAGGATGATTGTCGTAGGGGGTAGTTGTCTGGGGTAGTTGTCCGGGTGATAGTTGTCCGGGGGTAGTTGTCGTAGGGGTTAGTTGTCCGGGGTAGCTGTCCTTGGGGTAGTTGACCCAGGGGCTAGTTGTTCTAGGGGTTAGTTGTCCCATAGGGTAGTTTACTGGGGGTATTTGGCCGGGGGTAGTTGTCCCAGGGGGTAGTCGTCCTAGAAGGTGGTTTCCCTAGGGGGGTAGTTGTTCTAGGGGGTAGTTGACTCGGGTGGTTATCCGGGGTTGGATGTCCAGGGGGTAGGTGTCCTAGAACCCTATTGTATGTCTGTCTCTCTACTACTACTCTCTACTATATCATTTTCCCCTTTCTTTATTTATGCTCCCCTCCCCTCCCTCTCTCTCTGTCTCTCTCTCTGTCTTTGTCTGTTGCTCTCTCTCTCTCTCTCTCTCTCTGACTCTCTCTCTCTTTCTCTCTCTCTTTTTCTCTCAACTTATTTTTCTTTACTCTTACTCTCAACGCACCTCACTTCCATCTCTTTGTTTTCTAAACATAGGTTCGACGTCTGTGGGAGTACAACGCGCGGTAGACTGGAGAATCATCTGTCGAATCTTTCAACATTAGCCGGCACCCTCGAAGTGCGGGTCACTGCTGTACGTTATTATTATTGTTCCATGTTGGGTCAGTGTTCGTATATTCCATGGCCAGTATTCTGAAGTCTTGTCTAACTCCTGTTTAACTAAACAGACGTGACTAAGTTAGACACGATTTCAGAATACGGCCCCATGTGTATAACGACTATAATAATGCTAACCTTCTTCTGATTATAGTTTAATAATTTGTTTATCGTTCCATAATATAGGCAAATTTCTTTCTCAATGTCTCGTTGGTCCGTACTTCTTCTGCTCCAGATTTCCAAATCCAAATCGCTCTCTTACCTTCATTATAATCTTTTGTCCTATCTTCCTTTGCTTTCTAATTAATATCATTGTCTACAACAAAATTTGTAACGGAAAAGAGAAACGTGGCTTAATAACAAATAATATTCGTCTTCGGTTGTCACATTTAGTTCATTTTGTGGCATTTTCATTATGTCACCACTTTCTGTTTAGGCGAAAGGTAAATAAAACGGCCAAGGTCCCCCTCTGAGTGAAAGAAAATGAAATAATACAAATATAAAGTACAGGAGTAAAACACTGATCTGCGAACCACGTCCTTTTTTAAAACTACAAGAAGGCCAGAGTGATTCCCATGCAGACAAAAAAAAAATGAAAATGGGAACTTCATTCCCCACGCCTACCCTCTCCGGAGCGGTGCGCACTAAGTTTTCGGATTGATGAATCTTCTTTCATTTAAAGAATAATGAACGCAATGGTAGTAAGTAGTTTGAGTGTTCATAATTTGTTTCCCTCAAACAAATTAACCTTTTGAAATACTAGTTTCCCGGCCACGCCCGAACTGGGTTGACAAATTACCAGTACGGTATTTGTTGTTTTTGAGAAGACATGCTGTGTTTGCAAGACAAAGTGCAAATCCAACCATCGTGGTTAAAGCTAACGTAATATTAGTCTTGAGAGGGAGCTATACAACATAAAGAGTTTAATATTTACAATTTCATCACTTTAGACTCGACAACAATCATTGAATATTGTAAATTCGCATATGCTTCCAATTAGTTCATTTGAACCAAATGCATGACCCTATACCAAAACTTTGTATTCCCGTAAACTCAAACTCCTCGATACACTAATACGCATATATGCATACAGTTGATACACATAAGGAAGGGCATTGAGCAAAAGTTTCGTGTTTGTGGAAATTAAGTCAATAACTTTGGGTTGCTATATTTTTTTCACTAAAGAGTGATATAAGCCTCTCCTTTGCTTCAGATATTTTCCTTGTACATGGGCAGATTCCTAATAAAATTACGGATATAAAGAATATATGAAAATAACGTTTCTGATATAAAAACAGCACCAAAAATATTTGTCTTACTTGATTTAGGATGTTAATTAACCCGTATTCTGTTAAAATTGGTATCAAAATACAAATGATTGAGTTCTCTTTCATAATTATGACATGAAACTCATGGCGGTTTAAGGGTGACAGCTACAACAAAGCCGGCTCTGACATTATTGTGTATTATGATAAAATGTTTCGAATAAACAAGGTGCTCCTAGTTTGTGTGGTAATTGCAGGCAAGCTCCTCTTTTCTGACTTTGGCCCTCCACTCATGTCCTGGAACTTTGTTGTCTTCATTCATTCATTTCGGTTTATTATGAGATAATGAAAAACTAAGTGTCAAATTTGAAAGAACATACAATTCAAATGACAAAATCATCTTTGTTTGATCCAAATCGGTTCAGAGACGGCTAGTGAAATATCCATGAATATAACGATTTATAATACTTGTGTCCAACAAAAAATATATGAAAAAAACGAAATAGCGCCTTTTACGTCGTATTTCAGCCAATAATAATATATAACATTTATTAGGCGCTTAATACAAATGTTTCTAAGCGCACCATTGTCTTGTCTTAAAATTACCAACTAAAACTTGTAATAAACACACAAAAAATCTTTATTCAATAAATCAAGCATATATAATAACAAAAATAAAAATGAGAACAAACATAAGGTCAAAGAAACATAAGGTCAAACATGAGATCAAACAAAATATCAAACAAAGAATTAGATGGTGTGTATCTCCTTTGACCGACTCACAACTGCATAATGGCATTCATGAATTAAAAAGGTGCGTTTTCAGTAAGGACTTAAACTGGTCTAGAGAATGGGTATCATGAATATGCGCTGGTAATTTATTCCAAAGGATAGATGCATTTACTGAAAAAGCTCGATCGCCATATTTTGTAACAGAACGAGGTCCAAGGGTTAACTGCAAGGTTGATGATGATCGAAGAGGTCTTAAAGAACTGGAAGAACGTAAGGAAATCAAATCTGAAAGATATTTAGGGGCTTGGCCATGGAGAATTTTGTATGTCAGAAGAAGAACTTTAAATGTTGTACGATGGTGTATGGGAAGCCAATGGAGAGAACGCAATATTGGGGTTATGTGCTCAAATTTTCTCGAGAGAGTAACAAGCCTTGCAGCAGTATTCTGAATTCATTGGAGTGGAAGTAAGTATGAATGAGGTAGGCCAGAAAAAATTGAATTACAATAATCAAGGTGGGAGGATACAAAAGCATGGGTTAATTTTGCAGTTGTGGGTCGGTCAAGTAGTTTCCTGATTTTCCCAATTTTGAAGATTCCAAAAGATGCGGATTTACAAACGTTTTTAATATGCTGCTGAAATGTAAGATTTTTGTCGATTAAAACACCAAGGTCTCGAACGTATTCACTACCCTTCAGTGAACCATCTCCGGTAACCAAGTCGGGGAAGGAATCGGTGTTTCTGAATTTGGAAGTAATGTGGATCATTTCAGATTTTCGTTCATTAAGGCAAAGTCTATTGTTAAAAGACCAGAACGAAATATCTTCAAGGCAACTGCTAAGTTTCCGAGTCGTATCATCCTTCTCGTTAGGCTTAAGAGTTATATAAATCTGAGTGTCGTCAGCGTACATCGCATGATGAATCCCCTGGTGAGAATTAATGACCTTAGACAGTGGGCTGGTGTAGAGAACAAAGAGAAGTGGGCCGATTACGGAACCTTGAGGAACGCCGCAGATAAGTGGAAATGTTGCAGAAGGCGTGTCGCTGATGATCACACGTTGACTGCGATTGTGGAGATAAGAGCGTATCCAATCAAGAACAGTTCCGGTGATAAAAAAAGTCATTTTCCAGGCGATGAAGTAACAGGGTGTGGTCGATGGTATCAAATGCAGCCGTGTAATCCAGGAGGATGAGCACAGCTTCATTACCCTTGTATATGGCCAGGAGAAGATCGTTTAAGACTTTAACCGAAGCAGTTTCTGTTGAATGGTGGTTCCGGTAAGCAGATTGATGGACAGGAAGCATGTCAAATCTCTCGAGGTGGGCCTTCAGCTGAGCAGCCACAATCCTCTCCAAGACTTTATCTAGGAAAGGTAGATTTGCAATAGGCCTGTAGTTCAGTCCATTCGGATCAAGGTTCGGCTTCTTGAGAAGAGGAAGGAGTAGAGACGTTTTAAATGATTCCGGGACATGGCCAGAGGACAAGGAGAGATTAAACATCTTGGTAATGACAGGGAGGAGTTCGTCAAGGGTGTCCTTCAAGAGCCACGTTGGAATTGGATCCAATTTACAGTGTTTAGATGGTAGTGATTTGATGAGCTTCCTGACTTCTGACTCAGATACAAGACGGAATTGGGAAAGTTCATGATCAGATGGAAGAGCGCAATATGAAATTGCTGACACCGGAACTGAATCGGTGAAGGAAGATACAACATTGGATACCTTCTCGCTGAAGAACCTAGCAAACCTGTTGGCAAGTTCACTGTCAGATGAGTGATCCGGAATAATCGATGATTGATTTGGTGATGAGAGTGACTTTACGATGTTG